TTTGTCCCAAAATACATCCATTATTAGCCGATTTAAAATACCATTCGAATGCTTTATTATAATCTTTACCAGTCCCAATTCCTTTCTCATAAAAAACACCCAACCTATTTTGTCCTAAAGCATTCCCATTATTAGCAGATTTAAAATAATATTCAAATGCTTTATTATAATTTTTTGTTACCCCTCGACCATGTTCATAACAGTAACCTATATTATATTGAGCCATTGAATCACCTTTTATAGCAGATTTTAAATATTTATTTAAGTTACGTGTATTTATTTTATTTAATATAACATCTTTATAATAAAACCATGTTAAAAGATATTTCCCAATATTAATGTTAATGTTTTGTAATATGATAAATTCATTATCATTTTCTTCCAATAAATTTAAATTTTTAGATTTTATATTATTAATAGCTAATGAATATAAATCAAATGCCATATTTTTATCAATATCACAACTGATACCATTTTGATAAAAATATCCAATAATACTTGAAAACCATAATTCATTTTCTTTATGATTTTTCATTAATTCTAAAATTGTTTCAGTATCTTTATCAATATTTTTCATCCATTCATTTAAAGTTTCTTCAAAAGTATTAAGATCATTCATATTAATAATATTTTGATAAAAATCTTTTGAAAATTCTTTTAAAAAATTTTCTTCATCATTAATATTATCATTGGAAATATCCGATGTAATATTGATGATTTTTTTATTCAAATTTAATTTTGACCAAGAATTTGACATTTATGAATGATTAATGATTTTTAAGATAAAATTATTTTTTTTTTTTTTTCTTTTCTTTTTTTTTTAAAATTTTTTTTTTTTTAAAAAAAGAAAAAATTGGTTTAAATTGGTTTTAAATATTCGAAGAAAAATCAAATTAGAAAAATTTTATTTATATTTATATAAATAATAATAATAATAATAATAAATAGTAATAATATTTAATAAATTAAATGAATTATTATTGTTAATAAAGTCCGAAACTAGTTTTTTTTTTTTTTTTGATTTTAAAAAGTTTTCTGAAACTGGTTATTTTTGAAACTAGTTTCGAAACTTTATATAACAAAGAGGTTGTCACTAATCTAATTAAGGTAAAAGGAGACGCCGTATCATGTGCGCAGTTCCGCAGATGTTGATCTTCTTTCATATAATATACATATTAATACATACATGTGATCATCTTTAAAAAAACATTTTATATGAAAGCAAATTGAAATTACTCTTTTTAGAATTCATATAATTAAATATTAATACTGTCATACTGTATATATATTTTTTACATCATTATATAGGTTGATAGAATTTTAATTGTAATCATGGAAAACGATTACCTAAAAAAGAATTGATTACTTTGTAAAAAATAGAATATTGTGCGGTGTAATAAACATATTGTATTTATTTCGGACCATCAATTTTTGACGAACAGATAATCTTAATAGCCTAACTAACGATTCCTTTTATCGGATGGCGGGAAGGGAGATACTATCGATCAAAGACCGATATTCTACCCAATTGAATAATTCCAATTTATTGTTACGCTCTCAAGTTCTAAACCCAAATTCTGATTCGGGACAACTTAACCATTGTTCTGGTTTACAATAATTTGTAAAGTTGGGACACTTGGAACTATAATACCCGCAGTCAGAAAATTGGGACAATAGTTAATTTATGCCAAATGTCTTGACCAAAAATTGTTTCACGGGAACTGTGGATTTCACGACTGCACCGTGAAAATCATGTCTCGTCTTGCAATGATAACTATTATCTTAATCCGTTTTTTTTCTTTAAAGACGGCTCCTGTGACTTTGACTTTAGCCAGGCGCCAATACTATGTTGTTAGCAGTTTTGGCAGATTCGCCACTACTAGAAAATTTAGCGCTGGGCAAAGCTCATAGGGAAGTTGCTATAATATCTAATTATAGTTTATCTGTTAATGAAATAGTTGAAAAGGAAAAATCTTTTAAAAAAAAATGTATTAAAAAAAACAAATTTATATATACTAGTAATTTATTGTAAATTTGCATTCAATACATTATTTTTTAATTTACATATACAGTAATTTATTATTAAAAAATCATATTGTTAAAGGTAACTAATCAAATATTAAAAAATATTGATATTCTAATATTTTATTAGATCACTCCAGAGTCCAGACTTCAGATGTGATAATTGCTTCTTTCGCTAATCGTTACCTAATCCTAGTTCATCCTAGTTTAAAAAAATGATAATTACTACAGTTAAATTCATATTATTAATGATAGTTTGTGCTGAATCTCTTGCATCAATATCAGTGTTGACATCAGTTGCAGTAGCAGCACTGTCTTTGTCGCCAGCGCTGATGTCTTTGTTTGCGCTACTGCTGATCTTCTACTATATTCGTCGTATGCACCAGAACCATTTTGTGATTTTGAATAAGAGTAATCCAAATCTTCGCTCGGATCTCCGCTCAAAAGTTGTGGAATCGACATTACAGGTGGCGGGTGCAATAATGTCTAAAAATCAAGATATATAATATAATGCAAGTTAGACTATTTGCTTTCATATACCTCTTGTGAAACTTATACTAGTTCCTTCGCGAATACAGTGTTGACTTACGCCCGAGTTGAAATATGGCAAGGATTATGGTCCTTGATGTGTGAAAATTTTGAAAGTTAAATATCTTTATCTAAACTATTACACAAAGATCAAGTATAGCTTTTAATTGTGATCGATTTTATAAGGAAGATTTTTGTAACTATCAATAATAAAAAGAACCGAAAAATTACGTTGTTTAAATAAGATTAAAAAAAATTTTTACATATATACGAGCTGCGCAAAGAAAAGCTTTAAAAACTTATTTGGCGGGTCGGAGTCTCTGTAAATCCCCAGTTGCCAGTACTACAAGGTGGAATAGGCTGATGTTGTATAGGCACAGAGTGTGGCAATGATGAAAAATAATCAGAACTACTTGAAGGCTGAGAATGATATGAAAAAGGAATTGTTGTGTATAGTGTTGTGTATTGTGTTATGCTGGTTGTTCTTCGGAGGAATTCAGTAAAGTGTTTAAATTGAACGAAGAAGAACGTGTAGAAGTAGGCGGTAATAAAGGTGGCTGACCTTGAGGTTGTTGACCTGAAGAGTGTGAACGATTTCTTAGGTAATTATATGAACTCATAATTATTTTGAGAAAAGTCAACGTTTTCTTGAATTTATCGTTGAAATTCTCAGATACGGTAAAGAATTTCGGCTAAAATGTTAAGTTGATAGTATGTTTTTATAATAAAAGATTATAAACACAACATTGAATATTATTTGTATCACAAATAAATAATGAATGTAAAAGAGATTCCGATTTGCTAAAGACTACCACTTACTAATAGATAGACGTATTAACGAGCGAGCAGTTTATATCACGTGAGCAGGAAATCGCGTTTTATCTTTTATGAAGTTATTTTATTCGAATCATAAGGAAATGATAAGTAAAACTTTAGCTTTTAATCAAATATAATAATTTAATTATTTCTACACGTTGAATTTTCTTTGCGGTACTAGATAAGTAATCTTAAATTAGTGTGCATTAGAACAATTCCATGTTCATCGGCTGCTTTAATAACGGATACGTGTTTAAATGATGGGGCAGCAGGAAATTTAAGGACGGTTTTCTGTTCTTTTGCTATTGATAAATCAATAAATAGATAGTTTTATATTGGTTTTGGAATGATTTCAAAAGAACCACATTTGCTTTTAGAAAGAGCCACATTTGTTTCAGAAAGATTTCTATTGGTTTGGAAAGAGCTGAAAGACATTATATTCATCTTTTCTGGAAGTTTGCTTGAATTTTCCACCATTAATTGCGGTTCAACTATTAAAATGTTCTAAATTTATTATGATTTTTAAAAGATAGTTTAATCCCAAGAGTCAAACAATTTCTTAAGATTTTCAAGAACTATAGCTACTATATTTGTCTAACCTACATCATTAAAGTTAAAGTGTATCAGAATGTCAATTTTGTAGTATATGCAGTTGAATGAAATTGAATTAAATCCTAAATGTTTTCTCTTCTAATAAATTCTGCCAAAACAATTTGTTTTGATCAATGTTGTCTTATCAAGGTATTAAATTGAAATTATTTTTTTTATAAATTATTAGGATATGGAGTCATTGGTAAGCCACAAATAGGTCCATGCAGAATAATATGTAATATTTTTCTTCCATAATAAATAATGTAAAGGTACAATAGTTTTTGTAGTACCTTTACAGATAACACCTAAGCTAAGAATAATTTACCATATGGTGGTCGGATTAAAGTTTGGCTAAAGAATCTAAACCTTAACTTTGTAAATTTTTTAATAAGAGTTTAAGACATATGCCATTTCGTTACTTGGTTGTGCGTGGGTTTGAATTTCGGTTTTAAAGACTTCCTAAGTTCCGGCATCAATTTTCTTCGAACTTCTACATTGGTCGGACTCACGAAGGTTTCATCGTAATTCAGGTCTAATTCATGAGGGATAGTCTATGGTTTTGACAAGTTTTACCCTTTAGTCTTGCCAAGCCTTCAGGTTTCATACAGAAAACTTATGAATTAATAGTTCTATATTTGATATTTTCTCATTTTTTTCGCTTGCCCAACATTACTCACAGTCCAAGTTCTCTAAAATGGCATTTTTTACTGCCGTGGCACCAATACCCCTCACATCCGTCCTTCATTTTATGTAGAATTCAAATAAAATGAACCTGCAAAGAGAATTTATGAACTTTACAGTTCTTTCCATCTTTGCACTGAATTTATATATATATAATAATAAATTGTCAATAGTATGAGTATATTCTATTTCAAAGGGCGCAATTTTTTTCATTTTCATAGGGTACAATTAACTGGATATTGGTAATAAATGTTCTTGCAATCTTGGTGGCAATGTCTAGATTTTCTTGAATACATACTATCAAACCACAAAACTTACACTTCTATAGCTTGATATAAAACCCTTTTACATGTAAAAAAAAATCATAAAAAAGTTGGATCAGAATCAGTTATCATTTTATAAGCTTCAATATATCTCTCCATAGTTTTTGTAACTATATCATTAGGTAGTTCGATGCTAGTTTTTTTATCAAAATCAATACTTAATAAATAATTTCTTAAATATTGTTTATCAAAACTTTCTTGACTTTTGCCAACTTCATAATTCAAGGAAAGCCAAAATCTTGAGGAATCTGGAGTTAATACTTCATCAACAATATAAAGAATTCCTGTATCATCCCTTCCAAATTCAAATTCTGTGTCTGCGATAATTATTCCTTTACTCAATGCATATTTTTTTGCCTTTGTGTATAGTTTTACCGAAATTTCTGAAATTTGATCTGCATCTCAGGAACATGCTGACCAATTTCAGCTTTGGTACTAGGAGTATATAAAGCCTTCTCAAAACTTTGACCTTCTTTTAATCCTTCGGGTAAAGTAGTATCACAAACTGTCCCCTTCTTTTTATATTCAGACCATGCAGATCCGGTAATATATCCACGAACGATAGCTTCTACAGAAAAACTTTTAATTTTTAACAAGTAAATATCGATATTCAAGTTGATCCCGATATTTTTGTACTTTTTTCTGACATTTGATCAAATTCTGTAGTTATAATGTGGTTCGGCAATATATCCTTCAGATAATTAAACCAAAATACACTTATTTGTGTTAATAATTTTTCTTTTCCTGGAACTCCATTTTTCATAATAACGTCAAATGCGCTTATTCTATCTGTTGCTACAAATAACAAAGTATTATCGTCTATTCGGTACAAATCTCGAACCTTTCCACAAGTTATAAGTTCCAAGTCGGGACAAGAGCTTTTAGGTTAAGACATATTATAAAGAAGGTCGTTTGGTTCAAAGTGTGTCTTGCATTCTTGCATGGTATCAGTTGTTATGGTTATTGTTTATTTTCTATTAAAATCTGTGAGCAACTTATAAATATTGCTTGTATAGCTTTGTAATTTATTTTTAACTTTTTTTGGATCTTCTAGTTGTGTTATCATGTTGGCTATAACGACATCAAAAAGTGAAAAAAGTGAAAAAAAAAAAAATGATAGCAAAAAAGAAAAAGAATCAAGATATATTTATATATTATTGATTTAATGAAGTCAAGATCGTAAGTGATCATACTATAGTCATATGGGCTGATTTTATAATTGTTTATATTTATAGTTCCTTAGTTCCTTAAAAAGGTATTATTGCTTTATATATTTTACTATTGTATTATATTTATATTTTACTATTTTACTATTTCAGATTTTATTTTATTTTTATTTTGTTTTTCTTTAGTACTTCCTGTTTCTGTTTCTTCTTCCGTGGAGAAGGATATTCTGCATATTACTGTATTTTTGAAACTTTTAACGTACTGTACACGAATGAGGATAGTACAATACATCAGACTACGATATCATAAGTAATAAATACTAATTTAGAAAATAACAAAAATATGATATGAAAGATGAGATTGGAAAAATTAATTAAAAAAATTATGATGTGAAAAACAATGAGTTCAAAAGTAATGAGTTACAATTTGATATAAAATGTTGCGAAGGGATACAACGTTCTACAGAAAGTTGATGCCACAGTTTTACATATATATATGATAATGAACGCGTAAATAAAAAAGTTTTTCGCTATTTAAAATGTACACTCTTTCTAATGTATTATTTGTACTATAATTGCTTATTAAAAATTATATTATTTCTTAACGTTAAACAATAAAAATAGTCTTATGGCGCAATATTCATTTTATGACGATATGTATTAATCGGGAATAATTCAATATCATACTTCCTATAAATCATAGATATTAACCATTTTAATTCTGTCATTGACAATTTTCTTCCCGGTCACATTCTATTCCACCTCCCACATAATAAAAAAATCTTTAGAATGTTTTTTTCAAATAAATATTTATCGCTTTGTAAAATATATCAGAATCAAATTTTTCGGGATCAGTCCAACAATCATCACGCATCATTAATGCGGATGTAAGTATTTGAAATTGAGTTCCTTTTGGCCAATGATATCTTCCAACTTTATCATCTTCAATATTTAAACGACCTACTATAAAAACTACAGGTATATAACGAAGTACTGTACCTCTTTGATAACTATATCGTAGTATTTTAATTCTTAGATATTTTAAATACCATAAGTTTAGTTAAATAACTGAATCCAATTCTTGTCGTAATTTTGTTTCAAGATTTTGTTCGAGATAATATATGACAAAACAGAGCATATTCGTCGTCTATAATTTTAATAAGATATTTAAATTAGAGATAAAATTTTCGAAAAATTGAATAATTTTGAAAAAAGTAAGATTTTTTTTTTACTTACAATACCAAACATCGAGTAAATTTCCGCAAATCTCATTGGTCTTATCGGTACTCGTCGTAGATCCACAAAATCCGTGTAGGATATATGGAATTCCACATATTTCTGAATTAATTCATGTGGAATTACATGGACCGATCTACCTAAAATTTCATGATGAAATTTATTCATGTTTACAACGTGATCCACTCATATTTATTTCGTCATATTTTTTATATACGGATAATAAACAATCATTTTGATGTCCATTACCAAATAATTGAATTGGGAATGAACTAGGTAAAGGATTTGGTCGAGTGAAATATTTATAATAATATCGGGTTATATAGATAAAATAGAAAATATATCGGAACTTTGAAATGATGAGTGGATAGCATTGTTAGAAAATAAAGTAAGGATGTTCGCCACCTAATCTGAACTACTAGGAAGTGCGTATATATGCAGTATATACTAAATTTGAAACAACCCTTGTCCCTTGATCGTTTTAAAAATAGCGTGATTGCCATAATACAATGAATTAGGGATGACGATCGTAAGTTAGTAAGTTAAGGGGATGAAACTAGATCATCTAATAAAATTTAGTTCCGTTTTTATGAGCATCTCATTAGAATGTAAAGCGAAAAATAAAGTTTGATAATAGCAAAGTTTAAGGTACGGATTTGTAAAATTGACCTGTACGGAAATTGCCTCTCTCCGCGGAAGGTTCACTAATAGAAATATTACGTATTCGGGATCCTTGCGTAATTCATGAGAAAGTTTATTTTAAAAAAATAATTTACTTCTTGTCTAATAAACCAAAATTATTTTTTAATTTATTTTTCAATCCGAAAATATAGTCTAGCTTCTTTTGTTAAATAAATCTTTATGAATTATTTCATTACATTCATCACAGAATGATTTATTAATATGATTGAATCAACTACTAATATTGCTGTTGCAAAAATATTTAAAATATTACAAAAATGAAAAAGAAATATTTTTGTCTCAGCTAAATATAGTTATTACCTTTTTATGATTTGAAATATTTCATAATCTTCTATGGAAAATCTTGTATCATCACAATCTCTTATCTTTTTTTCATAATGAATTTTTTGACAGGAAATCACATCATAATCTTTAGATTCATCTTTAGAATTACAAATTACAAGATCATTACCAAAAATTGGACCAAATCTTTTGTTATGTTGTAATGCACTTGCTGTATTTTGCACATAACTAATACCTACATCTTTAAAATTATCCCGGTTTTTAAAAGAAAATATAAAACAATCTCTCATCTTAGTATAAATAATATCAGAAGTAGTAAACCATGTTGTAGGATTATAACCACCAAGGATCTCTTCTGTTTCTTTTACTTTAATAAACGCAATAGTAGCGGGTCTACCATCGCATAATTTATGAAACATTTTAGGGGTAAACCCATCTCGGCTTCCTCTTAATAATAATGGAAATTTATACGGTAAATATAATTCCCTTAAGTGAGCAAACTTATTATTATCTGCCTTATCAATCCATCTTGAAATAACTGAGATAATATTTAAATTAACAATTTTTGAATCAATAATCTCATCGTCTTTAACAGTTCTAGGAAGTGAAATGTTATCAGATGGTTCACTGTCAGGATTTAAATGAGAATTTAATAAATCTTCATAGAGTTGTTTTTTTAGTAGTTTCTTATAAGGACGAACTTTTTGTAAGAATTCTTTAGATGATAAACTAAAAAATCTAATTAAAGGTAAATAATGTTGCAAAGTATTTTCCATTGTTTTAAAATCATCATCTGACCAATTATTAGGGTCTGAAATAAGAGTTGGATTTTGCGAAAGACCCCATTTTAATAGATGTTCCCAAACTTTGACTTCTCTCATTTGTAAATAATCTTTTTTAATAAGTTGAACTAAAGATTTTTCGGGAAGTGAAGTAAAATCAAGTGACTTAAATATTTTCTCTGGAGATTTGGCCATTAAATCTGTACAAAATTGTTGGAGTCCTAATAAATAATTTGACTGAAAACTTGTTCGATGAATAAATTCAAAATGTTGTTCTATCCAATCAGATTTATTTTTAATCAAATAATTTTGTAAATAATCAACTATTTCTTGAAGAAGTAATTCATCTGCTGCTACCATTACTTTAACAATATTTGAAGTATCTTGCTCGTTTAACAAAAGAATGCCGCCATAAATATACCTATATTATAAAAGATTTTTTAAAACATTATTGAATAAAAGATGATGGTTTATTTAATTTATTATTTAAATTTAACTTACTTTAAAATAATTTGAAAGATTTCTGGCAGTATATTTGATAATTTAATATGAGCCAAAACATCATTATTCTTTTTGTTAGGTACCAAAGTTCGTCGTAAATATGTAGAACGGCAACACAAAATGTTCCTATGTGCACGAAAGATTTTTACATTGGGATCTTCTCCAACTTCAATTGTGGTATCATAATATACATCATCTTCTAATAATTCAATATAGTTTTGGCTTAATTTTGGAAGAAATTGGGTTGTCATATTAATAATTTTAAAAAAGGGGAAGTAACACTTTTGTAAAATATATAGTTAAAATATTGATGTAGATCTTTCCAAATATTAGGAGAAATAATCAAAAATAATCACACGTGATTATTATGAAATAGCGTACGTAGAATATAGCGTCAAAAATAAACTTAATAAAATAAAATTGTTCTTTTCCCAGATTGGCTCACAACCAACGGGCGTGCAACAGCTCAAATTATAATTTTAAGCTTATAATAAATGGTTTTGGTACGAAATCTCGAAAATCATTTGAATGATATAATGAGAGTTTGGATTATCGAGAGATTTTGGATTGTCGCAAGTGGCTGTCGAGATTTTGATCGGATACCATAATAAATACAACGAAAAAATAATGCCGGATTTACCCTATTATGAAGGATAACCATTTTGGCCAATTTATTTACATTTCTTCCTGTTGATCACGCGCAATGATCTTTCTCAATGTAAGGAGTAACGATAATAAAATAACATTATTTTTTTTTTATTTTTTATTTTTATTAAGCGATCCATGGAATAGAACAAATAAACAAATATATAAGTTTTACAATATTAGCAATAGGTATTTGACGAATACTAGTTTCTATATAAGCCTTACCAAAGTTTGAGACCTATTACAATAACAATGAATAAAAATCAAACTTTTAAATTGCCTTATCAACTTCGCTCAAAACCTGTCTAATATGTCAAAAGGGTAATCTCCTTTTTTATATAATCTTAGACTTTTCTTTCGATAGAATGTACAGTAGGATGCATCTGTAATCCTATTATTTCTGGATTCAAATTTACTGGATTCATCCGTCTAAAAATAAGTATTCTAATGCTAGCATGAATCAATATATATACACCGAATGCAAAAGGAATTAGCCAAAATAAGGGACTAAGCGTATAACTTGTATTAAATGCAACATTAAATGGTTCAATATACACAATGCACATGCCTAATCCTGCACCAAAAAATATTCCAATAAAATTACGAGGATTTGAGAACATAAATTTACCAAATGGAAACCGGTGTCGAGCTTTACAAGCAAATAAATTGAAGATTTGTTGAATCATGATAGATAAATATACAATAGATTGTGCTTCGTAATAAGCTCGAAGTTGCTGATCCTTAGTAATTTCTTGATTATGAATACTTATATAAGTTTCTGCATTATCTGTAAAATAATGTTTTTGGGGTACTTCTTGTTGCATTATTCGTGTATCATATGGGGTAATGCCATGATGATTCAAAACTACAAAATATGCGACCAATGCGCCAATAGCTTCTATAACACCAATTTCTAAATATGACCAGGAGAGAAGATTTCCATCAACTAATAATTCTTCATCAGTACTTTCAAATAATTCAGCCCAAAAACTTGCTGTAAAAGGTTTTTTAATATTGTGCAAGAAAATTGAAAGCTTTGAAGGAGGTATGAGTCGACCCTCTGAATCCCTAACGGTTGGAGTACGATTAAGAGCAATACGACGTACACGTTCTATTGAACTAGCAGTAACAGGCTTTCTAGGAGGTACCTTCATAAGACCTTTCTTGCTTTCAGGTTTATCCCAAGCGAATGTAAGAGCTATAAATAATTCAAATCCTAAATCAGTTACTAAGATAAGGATTGGTGTTAACGGTAATGGAATGGGTACTACAACGAATAATAATGAAACAACAACTTCTGGAGTTGAATGAGAAATAGTGTATTGAATAGACTTTCTAAGATTTGAAAATATGAGGCGACCTTCTTCAATACCCTTTACTGTAGAAGCAAAATTATCATCCATTAAGATCATGGCAGCCGCTTCCTTAGAAACATCAGATCCAGATTGATTCATAGCAATACCTAAATCGGCTTTTTTCAAAGCGGGAGAATCATTTACACCATCACCAGTCACGCCAACGATATGACCTAAGGATTGTGCACGTTTAACAATTTCAAGTTTATGTGAAGGAGAAGTACGTGCAAAAATAATTTCATCTTTAGAAAAGACGGTATCCCAATCATTTTCACTTAAAGAATCTATTTGTTCACCATGAACTACAATAGCATTATATTCACTTTCATGAATTGACTCAATAGGTCGACCAGTTTTTTTAGCAATAAGCGGTTTGGTATCTGATATCATTAAATTAATTTTTCGACCAATTGACTCGGCGGTCAAAGGGTGATCACCAGTCACCATCATTACTCTAATACCAGCACGACGACAACTTCCAATAGCTTCACGAACACCATGTTTTGGAGGATCTTCTAGTGAACATAATCCAACAAAACAATAATCTCCAGTCGGGTAATTTTTATCTTCTTTTTTAAATTCATAATTTTCAGGATATTTATCACTTGGTAACAATAATCTTGCAAAAGCCAAAACTCGATGTCCTTTTGAAGCCATAAACTCATATACTTCATCATAATTTTTTTGATGTTCGTCAGTTAAAGGAATTGCATCGTTATCTGATAATATCGTAGAACAAAGTCTAAGAACTCGTTCTGGTGCTCCTTTAATATATAAAGTTAAATCTCCCTTTTCATGTCTCTTTTTATGAATTGTTAATGCCCATTTTGTTTCAGAATTGAAAGGAATTTCAAAAACTTTTGGATATGAATTAATAAGTCCATCATAATCATCCACATTTTGATGGGCAAATCTTATTAACCCAGTTTCAGTAGCATCACCAAGAATTGCACGTTCATTAAATGGAACATCAGTACGATCAAATTTAGCACGGGAACATAAAAAAGATATATGAATAATTTCCTGAATACCGGGCACACTTGGATCAAAAGGAGTATTTTCGGATTGTACACTTTGAAATGCGGAATAAATATTTAAGGAAGTCCAAATATAAGTTACAGTCATTTGATTTCGAGTTAAAGTTCCAGTTTTATCTGTAGCCAAAAGGGTAATTGCTCCAAGTGTTTCGACACCCTGAAGATCCTTGACAAGAACATTTTGTGCCGCCATCCTTTTTGCTGCTATTGTTAAAAGTATAGTAACAGTAGCTGGCAATCCTTCGGGCACCCATGCAACAAGTACAGAAATGGCGAAAGCCACGTTGGCAGTAAGATTATTTGGCATAATCTTCATACCAATTCCGAAAAAAATAATACCACATAAAATGGCAATAGTAGCTATAATTTTTACGAATTTATCAATTTCTACTGCTAAAGGTGACTTATTCTTTTCTTCCCCTGCAGTAAGACCAGCAATTTGACCCAATACAGTATTATCTCCAGTTCTGATAACGATACCAAAGCCTTCGCCTGATACTACTAATGTACCATTAAAGCAAATATTAGTAGCTTCTAATGGGTTGCTATAAGTATTAGTTTTCAATCTTTCTTGTGGTTCTGATTCGCCAGTAAGAGAAGAATTATCTACTTTCATATCAGTTGCGGAGAATACAAATAAATCTGCGGGAACTTTATCTCCCATCTTTATAAAAACTATATCACCAAGAACTAAAGTAGATGCTTGGATTTGTAAGAGTTTACCTTCTCTAATAACATAACATTGTTGTGGGATCATATTTAAAAATGACTCTAAAATTGCAGCCGACTTTTGTAATTGATAAAATTCAATAAATGCGTTCAAAAAAGCCACTCCAAGGAAAATAGCACCAAGGTAAGTCTGAAAATAAAGAAAAGAGAAGATTGTTACTATTTATACAAATCCTTTTGATAATTAAAATTTTTTTTAAAAATATAAATAAATAACTAACATTGGGTTGATTATTAGCTGGATCAATAGCAAATAAAATATACATCAGAATACCAGCAAGAATTAATAATATGTTGAATAAAGTCATTAAACATTCCAAATATTTTAATATGGGATGTTTCCTTTTAGGAGGTGTGAGTATATTTGGACCATTTTCTTCCAATAACTTTTCAGCTTGATTCACATTCAACCCTTTAGATTCTGATGGTTTAGAAGGATTAATATCAACATGATATCGTTCGGCGACTTCTTCGGGGTTAAGTAAATGTTCATCCTATATTATTGAAAAATAAATGAAACGATTAAATGATAAGAATTAAACGAAAAGAATTAAATGATACGAATTAGAATTAAATGGTAAGAATTAAATGATAAGAATTATATGATAAGAATTATAAGAATTATATGATAAGAATTATAAGAATTATAAGAATTATATGATAAGAATTATAAGAATTATATGATAAGAATTATAAGAATTATAAGAATTATATGATAAGAATTATAAGAATTATATTATAAGATTATACTGTATGATAAGAAATTATATGATAAGAATTAAATGATTATCGCAATAGTGTAGTAGGACATATGTTGACAATCATCTGGTAATCACCTGATAACCATGGTAATCATGTAATCTTTTTATATCACTAATTATTTTGAAAAACGGCGATGATAAGAATTATATGATAATAATTAAATGATATGAATGATAAGGAATAATTGATAAGATGATAAGAACGAATCAAAACAAAAAGATGAATATTTACAATGTCTACACTTTTCTTGTTAGGATCGCTTCCTTTGGTTTCTTTCGTAGCAGGTGGAGTTCTTGTAGCAGATTCTACACCAGATGAATTTGCCTCGGATTTAAAATGGTCTGGTTTTGGTTGTTCATTGAATTGAATCATTGATTGCGATGAAATTTCACTAATCTCATTATTAGATTTTTCTAAAATTTCAGAATTATCTTTTTTAGAATTATCTGAAAATTGAGAATTATCATTTGTATGAGTTGTTAAAGTTATCTTAGTTATCACTTCCTGATGAACGGTAGGTTCTGAAGTTGAGTTTCCTGATTCGCCTGACATGATATAGTTGATGTTATTATTATAAGAGAAAACCAAAAAGGTTACTTAAGAAAAAAAATTTTCATATATTTCTTTTTATTAAAACGCGAGGGAGAACTGAAGGCGTTTGGACTCCCAAAAAGTAGGAAGGAAGAATGATTTATATAAAATTTGACATATAGGTGTAATAATTAATATAATGACGAATTGAATCGTATCAATTATGTACCTTATCTATACTTAACGCGATATGGATAAAAATGTACAATATTCGATGTAAGCTAATCGATCGATTGCATTTGAAATTTCAGATAAATTTCTTGATTGAGCGTAAAGATTGGCAAAAAAAAACTTGGCCCAACATATTGATCATAGCCCGACATATTGATCTTAGTCCGGCATATTAATGAATGGGAAAACTTTTGGCTATCAAGTTAGGTAAAAAAAAAAAAAAATCGATAAAAATTATTTTTCGTACAAAAAAAAAATCGTAATTTTTTATTTATTCCTCCTCTTAATTATTAAGTAAAAAAAAAGTATATATATATATATATAATTCGATTAGTCGATTTAAATGTATATAAAAAATTTAATTTTATAGGAGAGAAAAAGTTCAAAAGGGTGTTTATGTAATGAATATATACAATAGAGCTGGATTATCCTATTATCCTAAACTGTATCCGGTTAATTTTAAAAACGGATATCCGGATTTAAATTATAATCCTATGGATAATCCGGTTTATCTAGATTTAGAATGATCACAAGTGAACGACAGTGCTGTGCAAAATTCAAACATTAAGTACGTCATATTTATTCGGATATCCCGAATTCAAAATTTCTCTAACGAATTATCCTAAATTATTCATAGTGAAAAGCTCTAATATACAAAGGTTTAATTGTTTTTTTTTTAATCATAAAGAATTTAAACTATTACTCATAAGTTTGTTAAACCAAAATTTCTTAATTTTTTTTTTCATAAACATGCGGTAATTTTTTTTCGTTATTTTGTTTAAAAAAAAAAAGAAAATTACAAAGAAAAAAATAATATAATATAAAGTTCGAGAGGTGAATGAAATTTAATAACGAATTAAAAGAGTAAAATAAAAATTAAAAATGGTCTTTTTAAAAAACGAAGATCGGATCAAAAATTAAAAATCGAATGAAAATCCAAATGAAACGAATAATAAAAGGAATATTTTTTTTAAAAATATTAAAAGAAATGAAAAAAAGAAGAAAAATAAAGAGACTTTAAAATTTTCATTATAATGAAATAAGTTAGCCCAAAAAAAAGTTGAATCACCTGTTTTAAATACTATACCATCATTACGACTAAATAAATAGGTTTCCACTATTCACACCAACAATTCTTCCATGAAAAAGAAGGTGTAAGTGACGACCTGAAGATTAGCATTAACAATGTCTCGGTTGATGATGATCCATTTCATACATCAATTCTTCCAGGTAACAAGCATACAAGGCAGTCTTTAGATCTAAATTCCACCCTTGGGTTTAGTAAATCTCCAAACCATACCACAGAGATCATGAGTAAAATTTTTTCTATATATAATTATGGTATTGGGAGTCTTCGAATTTTGAATTTGTGATGATATACCATTTGAAGGTGAGGATGTAGCTGTTATTATATTTGATATTATAGGATGGTAACGGTGAAATGGAGAAAAAATGTGTATGAAGCACAATTTGCGTAATAAAAATAAATAAATAATATAATATAATATAAATAAAATAAACAAATAAAAGTCATCTTATAAAGTAATTGTAATTTACCAGTTCCAACAATCATATAATCTTCAGTCCATAAAGCTCCAGCATTATCATGACCACTACGCTAATTGCATTTCTTGTTGTGCAGCATACTTAGCTAGATCAATTTTACTAGCGACACCGCTCAAACTATCCTATTCTTAACCAAGATAATGAAGTAGTAGGTCTGATAACTACTGACGATGAAACTCTTCGTTTCCTAATAACTTTCCGCCTTCAGTAAATACAACTGAAAAAATTTGTTGCTAACGCAGCGACTTTCCATAATGTTGGAGAAACAAAAACATTGATCGTTCGGATTTGATGATGTGCTTCTTACATTATCATACCAAGAAACTGAACGAATTTGATTAAATAATTAAATAATAGGTTCATGGTGTATACACATTATAAAGAAATAAATAATACACAAATTATTAAATAAAAATTGAAAATGTGCATTTTATATTGTATTTTTAAATTGTACTTACACTAACGCTTTGTCTTTTATTGCTTGGTTTACTAATAACTTTTGATAGATTTACTAGCAAAAGTGCCATTGGACTGTGAATATTAAAATAGAAGGGAGGTAAACGACCTTCAAGAAGATAGAGTTAAATTATACTGTAGATGTACGTGATGAGCTTACTGTTGCGGACATTTTCAGGTTAGCATTACTGTCTTCAATTCGATTTAATTATTTCGTTGTTTTGTTTAAATTTATTGAATATATGTGCCCAAATTATTGAAGATTAAAAATTAAATTTAAATTTTCTGATAATAAAATGTTATATTAATTTTATAAATATTAGGAAGAATGAATTTTCGGTTAAAAAGAGAACATAATTCATTGAATGAAGTGATTTTTTGCCAGTTTAAATTCAAATTATTCTTCTCGTCCCTTCTTACCGATTCAAAATCTTTTTTTTTTAAACTTGTTGATAATAATATAATTATTTTGTTCGTGCCATTTGTACTAAGTCTCTTTGTATTCAATATGATCATTTTATGATTGTCTTGTTTTTTATCTCAATAAAAAAGATAAGTGTCCCTTTAGTAATGACCAATTTAGAATAAAAATTATCACTATAATTAGAATAATTCTTGGACACATTCTTAAGAACGTAGTGATCATACGAAATTTCTTAGTAGTTCAATTCTGATCGTTCGGGGGTTTTGAATTGATAATTATTGGCTGATGAAATTGTGTATCATTTTGATCACTTTTTTTTAACGTGTCTGGTGTCTAATGAAGTTTTAATACGCGCTCTCAAAAAGTTTAATATACCTTTATGGTATTGCTTATTTGCTATTTTTTAAAAAGAAAAATACGAAAAATAAGGTGACAAGGTTAACCGTTCAATAAGCCGATCAAGTACTCAATTTTGATTTTGATCACATGATAGGATTGGTTAATAGATTTTCGATCAAAAAACCCGAACTAGTATCAACCTGAAATAACATTCTTTATAAAAATCAAAAATATCTTTATTTCATGTCAAAAAAACTTTAATCAGGTACCGTATATTGCGGGTCACAGTAACCCATGCATAGTACCCTCCCCTCTTTTATCTGAAAAAAAATTCTGTTTTATATTGATTTTATTATTTAAAGAATATAATTTTTACGAAGATATTATACATAAATATTTTTCAGCATTCCTATTCATAATATACCCGTGGACCGTGGTACTATATACGGTATATATTGTCTATTTTTTAGAATATCCATATCATCAATTTCTATACTCGTCTCTTTATGATTTGATATACTTCATAATCTTCTATAGAAAATCTAGTCTCAGCATCTCTTATCTTTTTTTCATAATGACATTCATTACAGTAATCCGTATCATAATCCATATCCTCATTGGAATTATATGTAATTAAATCAGAAGAACCAAAACATGGTCCATATTTAACGTGATAATTTAATGCGTAATCTATATTTTTTACGTTACTAATAATTGGATCTTTAAAATTATTCTTATTTTTAAAAGAAAATATAAAACTATCTTTAGTTTTACCATAAGTAAGATCAGAAGATGATAACCATATTATAGGATTATAACCACCAAGAATTTCTTCCGTTTCTTTTACTTTAATAAATGTTACAGTAATAGATTTACCATCACATAGTGTATGAAATTTTTTGGGAGTAAAACCATCTCGGCTTCCTCTTAATAATAATTGAAATTTATAAGGTAAATATAATTCTCTTATATGAGCAAATTTATTATTATCTACTTTATCAATCCACCTCGAAATAATTGAGACAATATTTAAATTAACAATTTCCGAATCAATAATTTCATCATTCTTAACAATTCTAGGAAGTGAAATACTGTCAGATGGTTCATTATCAGGATCTAAATGAGAATTTAATAAATCTTCATAGAGTTGTTGATTTAATAATTTCTTATAAGGACGAACTTTTTGTAAGAATTCTTTGGATGATAAATTAAAAAATCTAATTAAAGGTAAACAATGTTGTAAGGTATTTTCCATTGTTTTGAAATCATTATCTGACCAAGTATTAGGATCTAAAATGAGAGATTTATTTTGTGCAAGACCCCATTTTAATACATATTCCCAAACTTCAATTTCTTTCATCTGTAAATCATCTCTTTTAATAAGTTGAGTTAAAGATTTTTCGGATAATGAAGTGAAATTGAGTGATGTAAAATATCTATCTGGACATTTAGCCATTAAATCTGTACAAAATTGTTGAAGTTCTAATAAATAATTTGATTGAAAACTTGTTTGATGAATAAGCTCAAAATTTTGTTCCATCCACTCGAATTTATTTTCAATCAAATATCTTTGTAAATAATCAACTATTTCTTGAAGCAATAGATCATCAGCCGCTTTCATTATTTTAATAATGTTTGAAGTGTCCTGTTCTTCTAATGAAAGAATCCCACCATAAATATACCTGACAATATAAAAGATTTTTTTTTTAAATAAAGATATTGAAATAAAAGGTTATGAATTATTATTATTTTATTAAATTAACTTACTTTAAAATAATTTGAAATATTTCCGCCGATATATTCGGTAATTTAATATTAGATAATACATTGTCACTATCTTTTTTATTGGAGGTCAAAATTCGCCGTAAATATGGGGAACGACAACACATAATATTCATATGTACCCGAAAGATTTTTACATTGGGGTCTTCACCAACTTCAATTGTAACATCACTGTATATATCACCATCCAATAATTTAACATAATTTTGACTTAATTTTGAGAGAAATTGGGTTGACATACTTTATAACTTTTAAAAAGAAGAGTTCTATATGCCAGCAATATATATACAGTATAATGATGCACTGTAGATCTTTCCAAATAAAAAAATTAAAGTTTTTACTACGGCGTTCATTTTAGAAAGCAAACGGATACAGTAAAATAAGAAGTTTGAAAATTACATTGTTCTACAGTAACAAATATCTTAGCTGCCACAGCTTTAAAAATGTAAAGTACTCGGGCAATGCAATAAAAATTTTAATCTACTTATAAAAAAATTTTTGTAATTCTCGTTAATTCTCTATACGAAGTATTTATAAAAAATTGAATTTTATAAAAAAATGAATTATTATTATATTAATTCGTGTCAAAATGAATTTATAAATGTTGACTGTTAAGGAATATTTCAGTTTAGGCCATACAGATTTAAATGGGTAAAATCAAACGACAATAATCAAATAATCACGTTGAATGATTATAATCTTTGGTTTATTAAAATGAATGATTTATTCCTACTTAAATAATAATAATACGAGTGCGAGTCTAAGCTCTAAATTTTCATCTATTAACTACTATTTTTAACTCGAGATTTTATTTACTTTTCTCAATTCGTTCTGATATAATAATGACTTCCAACTTACAAAGCTTCTATATTTGTTTTTTTTTTTTCACTAGAGAAACCTAAAAGATTATTGTAAGAATGGAGCGCGTCTCAGATTAGTCAGATATTATTCAGATTAATTTACTAAATCAAGAAATCTATATTCGTTCATTATTGAATCGTGGAGAAAAAATTTATAAATCACATTGTTGAAGTGATATGAAGAAAATTAATTTTATAAAGTGGAATTCTTTGATTTTGTTTTTATACAAATGCCCAAAATATATAATAAAAATAAATTCGCCATCTGTATTTCTATACTTGTCTCTTTATGATTTGATATACTTCATAATCTTCTATAGAAAATCTGGTCTCAGTATCTCTTATCTTTTTTTCATAATGACATTCATTACAGTAATTCGTATCATAATCTCTATCTTCGTTGGAATTATATGTAATTAAATCTGAAGAACCAAAACATGGTCCATAATTGGCGTGATAATTTAATGCGTAATCTATATTTTTTACGTTACTAATAATTGGATCTTTAAAATTATTCTTATTTTTAAAAGAAAATATAAAACTATCTTTAGTTTTACCATAAGTAAGATCAGATGATGATACCCATTTTATGGGATTATAACCACCAAGAATTTCTTCGGTTTCTTTTACTTTAATAAATGCTACAGTAATAGATTTACCATCACAGAGTGTATGGAATGTTTTGGGAGAAAATCCATCACTGCTTCCTCTTAATAATAATTGAAATTTATAAGGTAAATATAATTCTCTTAAATGAGCGAAATTATTATTATCTATTTTATCAATCCACCTCGAAATAGTTGAGACAATATTTAAATTAACAATTTCCGAATCAATAATTTCATCATTTTTAACAGTTCTAGGAAGTAAAATGTTGTCAGATGGTTTACCATCAGGATTTAAATGAGAATTTAATAAATCTTCGTAGAGTTGTTTTTCTAGTAGTTTCTTATAAGGACGAACTTTTTGTAAAAATTCTTTAGATGATAAACTAAAAAATCTAATAAAAGGTAAACAATTTTGTAAAATATTTTTCAATGTTTGAAAATCATCATCTGACCATTTATTAGGAGTATTAGGATCTGGATCAAGTGTTTGATTTTGTGCGAGTCCCCAATTTAATAAATGTTCCCAAATTTCAATTTCTTTCATTTGTAAATCATCTCTTTTAATGAGTTGAACTAAAGGTTTTTCAGGAAGTGAAGTGAAATCGAATGACTTAAATATTTTTTCCGGAGATTTCTCCATAAAATCTAGACAAAATTGTTGAAGTTCTAATAAATGATTTGATTGAAAGCTTGTTCGATAAATAAGTTCAAAATGTTGTTCCATCCATTCAGACTCATTTTCGATAAAATGTTTTTGTAAATAATCAACTAATTCTTGAAGAAGCAGCTTTTCTGCAGTTATCAAGACTTCAAAATTTTCAAAAGTATCTTGATTATCTAACGAAAGTATGCCTCCATAAATATACCTGCATTGTGGAAGGAAATTTGAAACTAAGTTAATTAAAATTTTTTTAAAAAAAATCAAAAAAAACTCATTAAATTATAAACAACTTTACTTTAAAATAATTTGAAATATTTCCGGTGATGTATTTGGTAATTTAACATGAGTCAAACCGTTATCATTATTCTTTTTACTGGGTGTCAAAATTTGTCGTAAATATGGTGAACGGTAATATAAAATATTCATATGCGCACGAAAGAATTTTACATCAGGATCTTCACCAATTTCAATTGTAATATCATAATATTCATCGTCAATCAATAATTCAAGATAGTTTTGACTTAGTTTTGAAAGAAATATTGACATATTTTAAGTTAGAGTACAATTTGAATGGGAGGAAAAAAAAAAGTATTTATTTGTTTATTATGTAACAATAATTATTACATAAATAGTTAGATCAATATATAGATACGTTGCGTAGACAGTATAATGCAATATTATAAATTGAATATTTAAGATTAATACTTTGATAATAAAAAATAAATTATTATTAATATGCACGTTATGCTTTTTCAATAATTTCACGATATATTACAATAATAAAAAAGAATTTAAGATAATAATTTCAGATTTTACTTAATTATGAGAGATAACTCTTACGCAGAGGTAGAAAAAGAGAATGGAAATCATGTGCAACAAAAACTATTGCAGAAAACGTGACAGGAAGAATACAAATCAATGGATTTGCAATTGTCCATTAATATTCAAACATTTGGTGGAAATGATTGATGGTGGAGAAAATGTTTCTGATAGTAATAATGATGTGAAGAAGATCAGAGTCTCAAATTCGAAAGCTTCAACATTTTATGAAACATCTTGAAGAGGAGTATGAAGCATGTAATTATCGACATGTCAAAGTACTTTTTGGATAGATCAGAAAAATGATGGATGATATTTGATAATGCACAAAAGAAAAATATGCTGACTGTTACCTACGGCTACGGCCTCTATCTTTTTTCTGACGTTTATCATCAACCGATAGATACATACTGCGTAATAGCCAAACATGTACACCATACGAGGATGATATTACTCAAGTTTAAATACCGAGGAGGCGAAATAGAACCTGGTGCTGTGTGACGTAAATGACATGCAAGCACGTGAAAAGTCACACGGTCAGGTCCGTGCGACGGAAAAAAAATCGAAAGAAAAAAAATACGCGTTTTCTTATCTATTATGCACATTCCTGTTTTCTTCGCATCAGAAGGTGATTCAGCTACAATGACTACAATGACGAATATTTTGTAATTTGCGTAATGATAATTAAAAATATTAGCAATCATAGCATGAAACTACTGAAACGTCCTGCTATTAGGTTTTGCGTAATTAGTAAAATATATTTTGTGTATATATATTGAGATTTTTCTCCTCCATATTTTTAAAATCCCACCATGTCTTTAAAAGTTTTCTCTTCACCATATTTTTAAACTCTCGATCTTTAAACTCCATCTTTAAATCTCGTCATGGTAAAAATAATTATTGTATAAAAGTGTCTATTCCAACATGATGCCGTCATCGAAAACCTTCGAAATTTTTCTTTTATCTTTTACTTTATTTAAAATGTTGTAATAACGTTCTATTTTTTAGATCTCGGGCTCTTCGAAGGTAACAACTTCAAAATAAATTTTTTTTTTTATTTTTACCGAACGTTATACTAACGTTCATTTTTTCTTTTATTTTAGGTCCTGGATTAACGTAAAAAAAAACAATTTTCTTTTTAGAAATTTTTTTGAGATCAATCTTAATTGAAAACCAGTCGGTAGAAGAGTTGCAGGAAATCGTCATGCTTTGTTGACAAAATTACACTCGGAAAGTCCTGAATTCCCGTCCAAAGTATAGGACTATCACATGAGTTTCTTGGTAATCCCTTCGATAACCATATTAGTATCATTGGGTAAGAACTAAGAACATGAATAATTTACGCTTTTTTATTTCTTATTACTTATTATATATATTATTGTAACTAGTTGAAGCCGTGGAACTTATGCATGAGTTATATGAATTAGATAATAAACACGCGAATTTTTTAGAATATTGATTGAATAGAAGAAAAAGGCAAGAATAATAAATTGGATTTACGGCCTTCTGGTATCCTTCCCTATTCGGTTTTCTCCGAAGGAAGTTCCAGCTCGAGTATTGTAAGTGGTAATTCCAATATTACAGCAGGAAAATCGCTTGCCTTATACTCTTTACAAAAATATGTATCCTCATTTCCACATGGATCATAAAATCCCTCACGCACATCCGCACATCTCTGTTTTTTACCACAAATATCCCGAGAAAAAATTTCATTATCTATTGGAATTACGCCTTTACGGATAACATAGAAGTTCTTTAGATATCTTCCAGCCTAATTAAGTTTCCAAGTGTTGAATCTAAAAGGTCCTTAATATTTTCTTTAATATCAAGAGGTAATGACTCCTGTGGTAAACTTATTGGCAATTATTGACAATTTTAAATTTTGCATTATTGATTTTACTCCTAAACTCAGGAATTCTCTTCCTCTAAACACCCGTTTGGTATGCAGCAAAAAGCGTACCCCTAAAGTCTATGTAGAACAAAGGGAATGAGGGTTAGTCGCTGAAATATAAAAGAAATACTTGTTGTCGGATGAAACCGGATAGGGAAGGATACCAGATTATCGTTTCCATTTCCTTCGAAGAAACCGAATAGACTTTAGGAGCTTTTGTAAAATGCAAAAATGATTTAGCAACGATCACGTCCTTCCCTAAAAGATGATAGCGTGAATAAAAGTAGTGTAATTCAACCAACTTATAATGACTATGAAGGGAAACTAAACACAAAATAAGAGAAGAACAATGGGAACAATGTCTGTTAGAAGGTACACTCAAAAATAGAAGATCCAACCAAACAAAAGAACTGAAAAATAAGTCGGAGGAGCGAACAAAAGAGTAAACAGAACTTGCAAGGGTGACCGTGGTAATTACAATATTAATGGAAAATTTTATGGAGTTGATTCCGCTATAGTCTTAATTAATAACTCTAATAGGAAACACTACATACGTCCAAAAGATTTCGCTATAACTGGAAGTGTGTTTAAAGATAATGGCCTTGAGCTTATTATCAAAGACATCAATCTATTTCATACTTCAAAGTATGTAATTAAAGTTAGACGCCCAACTGGATTACCAAAGGAAGCATTGATAATTTACAAACATCCATTTTTGATGGAAATTTAAATATCTATGAATAACAATCATCAATATTGGTAAAGTTTTTATAAAAGAGATTGAAATAGAAGGAAGGATTTATTTCCATCTGTACGGTTGGGGCAAATATTATTATTGGGAGGAACGTATGGTTTGATCAAAAGAAAAGATCAGCCATGGCACACTCATTGTAAACACTTTTAATTATTTTTATGGTGTAGCATCTCTAATAAATGCCGTGTTGGATGTTCTCGAGGCACCTATTTATAGTGACAAAAAGAGGGTGTTTTCAGTAATAAGAGAATTATGATATAATGCAAAAATATTAATGTTATAATTATATGATCCCCTTATCCTTATCTTTACCTAACCATATCGCAATTTTTCTACTGATAATAAATTTGGTAATCAAAAATCATAGTCTCAGTTGATGCGTTATTGAAATATTTTCAAAAAAATTTTCAGATAATTTTTTTTTTTTGTTTCTCCACTCTCTAATAGCATCACGGATAAATGATAGGGCAAAAAGCGTATCTGATAATTTATTCTATGAATTATTTATTATATGAATGAAGATAAAAAAATTGTTGATAAAGCCCCTTGAAGAAAAAATGGATATAAAATATATCTATGATGGATAATGAAACACTTATGTAACAGGTAATACGATATTAGGCATTTACAGTATACAAACATATACAAATAATTAATCATGTAATTAATTATGTTGATCGTACAGTATTGCACTATTCAAATCAGAATCATCTTTATATATCTTTTTTATGTTAATAAACCATTTCTTATATCAATTATAAATTTCGTAATAAGATTCAGTTATGTTTACATTATAAATTATAATGAATCCTAAATTACTTGAAAATTTTTAAAATCGGACTAATCAAACTAAGGCTGCTCCAAGCCAATTCTTTGTTTAACATAACATAGGAGCTCCAATCTGGGGGGGGGGGAGGGCACAAAAATAATACATAAAATACAATACATGACCAGAATTACCATTAATATTGGCCAAAATTTTGACCAAAAGAGTAAGCAAAAATTTTGGATGATAATTCTGGCCAAGACTTAAAGATTTGTATAATTCCGGCCTAAATTACATGTATTTTTTTTACATAAAAAATCCAAAAACAGGGGGGAAGGGGTTATGTTAAACGAAAAATTGAATTGGTGTGGCCTAAGGCAGATAGCTACTAACAAATAATATTTTCTGGCATAAAAATTACAAAATTTAGCCAATGTCATGATTCTGGCCAGTATTATGAAGTTACCGCTGATCATAACAGTCTGCTATGTTCATTGTTAACAAATAAATCTTTTATTATAACGTTGTGCTCTTTTTCAAAATTATTATGATTATGGCTAATGCATTTTGTATTTTTTTTAATGTATAATTCTTTGAATTGCATATTTGAAGACGCCATCAATATTTGGGTCTCCAATATTACTAGATTTTTTTTTACTCAATATGATACCAGTTTTGTGTTTGCTTAAAAGTATTTGCAGCAGCAGCAGCAGCAAAAACATTAGCAACTGCAGATTTCAAGCAATATTAACCGAAAATTTATATGATATACAATAATTTATTAATGGAATTATTGGATTATCAAATATGTTCATACTCCTAATCCTATGGGCTCTAATCATTCTTATTACCTTACTATCTATATATCAGAATTTTTACACAAAAATACAATTTTAACCAATTGGTCTGAGTATACATTTATTACGATAAGTGCAATTGCGTACAACATCCCTGTACACCAAGATAATATGGCATATGGCATAAACCCTATATACTAAAGCCAATATTAATATAATTTCTTTTATTTTAAGTGACTGATCATTTTTACTAAACCTATTTTTTCTTCTGCACTGACACCTTCTTGCATTTTTTCTTCTGAATGAAAGTATCAACTGTGCTTTGCGCTTGGTCATTATCTATAGCCTTTTCGTTCTCCATATACACAAATGGTTGCCATAAAATGCAAGCTGAATGATTTGAATTTATATATATTTTGGGCTTTGGGTATCTCTCCATTGAATTGATATTTTAATTAATTTTACATGATGATGTTTTATAACTTCTTGTAGTTAAAATCATATCAAAATTAATATGGCATGTCAGTACCTGCAATATCAGTAGTTTTGGCAAGCAGTAACTTCCTTTTCCTTTGTCAGCTCAAAAAAATAGATAATCCTTACTAGATTACAGTATACTAACGCCAAATTTTAAACATGGTAGAGTGTGATATTTCATCTATGGTATGAAGTCTAGTAGGTAAAAGTAACGGCTACATTATGTGATTATAATTTCACCCTCTTGGATACATTAACTGAATGACCTAAGTCCATAAGTGCATCATTACGATCATATTTCAAGCAGGTTCTTGGTTTTGACTATCATCAACTATTTCAACATAATTTGGTACTTAAAGATTAGGTGCTCTTCTTGATAACCCCAAAACCATCATTCTTACTTCATCTTCTAGTTCTTGTTGACTTCTAATATCTTGCTTGTTATCATTTAAAATGGTCCATTTGATTTCTGACCGTTTTAAAATAAAAATTGGTTTATGCTTAAGGACTTTTCTTAAAAATTTTAATTTCTAATACACATCTTACATATTGCTGTAACATCTAACATTCACAATTTTCTCCAAATCATCTAAATCTTGATTCACAGCAACTTCACACATCATCCGTACATGTTACACTCAACGTATGACCATCTGGTTTCACCTATATGAATATATCTACCTTTTGTTCTAATCTGCTGATTAATATCTCACTTTCCAAAAAAAGTGACACCATTGCCTTTTTGCCTTTTTTTTTAAAAAAAATGATGGAAAAATATTGATTGTCTTGTGTTCTTTTCTATTTAAACAGTTCATCAGATTCTTTCTCGTATCTTCCAGGTTTTTTGTTTTCATTATTTTTTGCCGCTTTGACAGCTGCTCAATATTCGTTTGCCTATGAATTGTCTTTGGCAGACAGATTCTCGAATATCTGTCGAGACTTTCACGTAATTCATCGTTCTCATTTGCGAACAATTAAAAAACGTTAATAAAAAATGTTTTCGCAACATTTTCTATTAAAATAAATTAAAAAATGTTGCAAAATATCTTTTTTATTAAATTACTTAATAAAAAATATTTTCACACCATTTTTTGTTAAAATAATTAAAAACGTTTGCGAAAACCATTTTTTTTAATAAAAAAACGGTTTTGCAATGTTTTCTATCATTTAATGATTGTTTTCTACTTTTCAAACCCTAGAGGAATTAGTAAAGAATAAAAAGGGTAAACCTCAAAGGTAAGAAAACTTCAAATATGTTTTGAAAAAGAAATCAAACAAAATCGAAGAAAAGGAATTTGAAATTTTTAAATTGTTATAATTGATGATAAGGAGCAATTATTTTCATTTAGTAAATATTTAAATGTCGTATTGGAGATCTATTTATATTATTCATGTGAAAAAAAACTTATTTATGAGTAATTTCTCCGTATATATAAAATTTATCAACTAAAAAATTTATGTGAAAAATGATATTGTAAATGGGTAAGAATTCCACCAGTTGCTTGTAATCCAAAATTAGTCATCTATTCGAAAATCTATTTTAGTCTTTAGAGTTTAGATTTAACACATACATAATACTCAACAATAATACATGTAACAAGGGATTCATTGATCAAATTATTATACAAACAAATCAATTATTAAGAAAAATGGATTTAGTTTAAGGATTAGAGATTAGAATTAGGATAATGATTAGAACTGATTAGGATTATTGATTAGAATTGGAATTTAGGATTATAAGATGGTGACGAATTGTGACCCACTTTATGGTCATACCCGGAAAATAAATTTTTTTTATTTTATTTTTTTAAAAATTTTTATTATAATTTGTCGAAATTAGGGAATTGAGTCGACTAATTCAAAATCGATCATGGTCGATCAAGTCAAGTGACTCGACTAATGATTTTGTGTATCGAGTACTCGAAAAATTAAAATCGATCAACATATAATCGAATAAATTTGAAACACGTAAAATCGATTATATAATACTTGAATAAAATCAATCGATTAAAATATTAATCATGCTTTAATGATAAATTGGTTAAATAAACATGATAAAATCTTAAAATAGCAACTTTGCTAATTTTTCTTTGTAACAAGTAAGAAAGTTTCTTTCTTTTACACTCTCTGCTTATAGTATTAATAAACTCTTTTAACGTAAATAATGCCTCCAAAACGTGCAAGTAGTTCCACTGAATCTTTACACACATCAAAACGTTTGGCAAGTGATATTACAGATGAACAAGAACCACAAATTATACCAAAAACTGCAAATAAAACCAGTTGGGTGTGGGTTTACTTTGTAGAGAAAACAGACGGGCGTGTATTATTAATATATATTATAAATATATAATGCGAAAGTATAAAACTGCATAAATTTATATAATCTATTATATTTATTTTTATTAATTTTTAATTTATTAATAAATACTAATTATTTATGACATTTAATCGATTAATTGTTCGATTAATTGTTCGATTTTATTAGATCAAGTGTACTTAATCGAACTTTAATCAATTACAGCTTGTTAGTCGATTTTGGTCGATCTTGCCTAAAAAATTTTAACCAATTAATCGAACAATGATTTTGGGTGTTGACTCAATTCCCTAGTCGAAATACATTTCAATATAACTATACTAATTTACTAAAACCTATTTCTATATCTATATGCTTTATTTTCTTATCTAATCTATCTAGTACGGTTGTTTCGCACATTTTGTTTTCCTTTTTCTTCGTTGCTGAATAGCTTGCATTTACCGATCTTGCGTCGATTTCTTGTTATTTAGCTTCGCATTCGTCTTCTTCACCTACTCTCCTATCGTCCCGGTTCCTTCAACAATTTCCTCCTCTTTTACTTTCTCTCAACTCATTAATCACCTCCAATTTATAAAAAACTTTAGAATTTTTTGGAATAAAAACTAGAAAATCGGAGTTTTCCAGAAAATTTTTTATGGGCAGGATCGTATAATCATCAATCTTTGTTGATTGGATTGACGGTGTTTCTTCGTACGAGAGACCTTGTCTAAATTTATTATCCGCATCCACAACTACTTCCTTGTTAGGTAGCATGACTTGTAAACTTTGATCTTTGTTCACTGAAGATTCAGCCGGTTCATATTTTTGATATAGCATGAAATTTATTAAAATCCTTTTTTCGTGGTGAACGATCCAAACACCTTTACTGCCGTTATCTTTTATTGATTCCGTTATCTTAAATTTTTCACTTTTAAAATAATCATAAAAATATCTAATTTTTATTGCCAAAGAAGATATCGTACCGATCTTTACAATTTTCCCTTCTGATAGATCTTTTAAATCAATGCAGCCCATTTGAATTTTTCTCGAATTACTGATAATTTTATATCAGTAGGGAACCATCGAAATTATAAATTTGATCATTAATCTTTATCGGCATTATGATCACGGACTCTCTTCTTTCACCACGTGATTTTCTGCTTTGATACCCGGAAAATAAGTCCGCTAATCCGTTACCAAATTTTTTTTTTTGTTTATTGTTTATTACATGATGATGCAATAATCAGAAATAAATTTTTATATTTAGCAAGAAGAACTAAGCCTCTTGATATCATTGATATGGACTTGAAGGAGAAAACATCAAGATTACGAAATAAATAAACTAAGCCCGTTGTTACCCTTTGAGCCACGCAATTAAAATATTTCATGTACTCAAACTTGTAGATTTAACGTTAAATGTTTATGTTTAGTCGTCATAAATTCAAAATAAAACTATTGCTTTAACTCTTGAAAGAATAATTTTAAAACAAATTTTCTAGGAGACTTGACTCATGTCTGATCAACACTGTGGCACCATTCATTCCACGACTCCAAAAACTTTAAAATTCAATGTTTAAAAAATGATTAAAATAATTAAGAACTTGATATTTGTAATACTGTACGTCAATTATTGTACTAATATAAAGTGAATCTTCATGTGATATCACGATGATATTTTTTTTCTGTACATAAGATTTGTCGTCGCAAAAAAAGTAAATTAAATATTAATTATTATGGTTATTCTTTTCTTAATGATGTTTAACTCTTAAACCTATAATGACGAATAAAATAAGTTATATATCCGATAAAATTGTTGATAAATCCCAAATTTATAAAAAGTCTCGGCTGATTTCCTTTTATAAAAACTTGATTAATAAATTTAGCCAATTTTCGAAAATCATGCAATTATAAAGTTAAAATGATTTTCGGAAAAGTTTAACCCCTTACTGGATAAAATTTAAACGGTAAATTTAAACGTATAAATATTTAACCGATAAAGCAATTTTTAATATAAATATCAATCCCAATAAGAAAATATAATAATAATAATAAAAAAGAAACATAGCTGATAATATGTCTTTTCATAAAATTTTTAGTGGTCTTGGAATTAATGACTTCCTTTCATTTATAGGTGTCTTATTAATTATCTATATAACTCAATATTATTACAAATATTTTACTCGTGTTAATCCTTTACCTGGTCCATTGCCATTCCCATTCGTTGGAAATCTGCCTCAATTTATGTTGTATAAAGTAAGCACCAGAGAATTCTTCGGTGCTTATCAAAAGAAGTATGGTGACTTATATGAAGTTTATTTGGGAGCACGACGTATAATTCTAAGTCGAGCAGAAGATACTGATAAACTTTTAATGCCTTCAACAAAAAGTCATTATATGACGAGACTTCCCTATATGCAAGGATTAGAGGAAATTGGAATGATGGGAAAGGGACTTATTTTAAATCATAACTTAAAATCATGGAGATTTAATCGTCAATTTTTTACACAAGCAATCTTATCACCAAAATTCTCTCAGGAAGCTATTGTTATGACAAATAAAATGTTCCTTGAAATGGAAGATTATTGGGATAGATTGTATCTTAAAGAAGAAGTTATTAAGAAAAACAAAAATGTGCTCGATGTCGCTTCGTGGTTAAGTCGATTTACCAATGATGTGATTGTCGCGTTGACAACGGGTGAAAGATCTTATACAATGGCAGGTTATTTTAATGACCAGGGTGAAGAAAAGACTGATCATCCACCAGCAATAGTAGAAGACTCGGAAAGATTTGTTAAATCATTACGTAGTCATTTTGATAGTCTTATAATGTTTATGTTCGTAAATCCTTTCATTCGACATTACATTCCATTTTTTAAAGGTAAATCAGATGAATCGCTTCGAAACGCCAAATTTCTTTATGATAAAGTAGATTCAATTATTAAGAGACGCAGAGAAAAAATTGAAAATACACCATTAGATAAACCTTTACCGCATGATATGTTGACCTCGGTGATAACCGCGAATACACCACGTGATATTAATTATACTAAAACNAATTGAAAATACACCATTAGATAAACCTTTACCGCATGATATGTTGACCTCGGTGATAACCGCGAATACACCACGTGATATTAATTATACTAAAACCGTTGGTGGTGAATCTATGGATAGACCTATGACTGATCTTGAAATTCGTCACATCATGTTCGACACATTTATTGGTGGAACTGATACGGTAAGTTATAAATTTTTAAATATTATTTTATTTTATTTTAATTTTGGAAATTAATATGTTTATATAAATATAGACCGCAAATTTGATTTCATTCATTGTCTATTATCTTGCACATTATCCGGATGTAAAAAGAAAAGTGGTAGAGGAAATTGATAGAGTATTCCAAGATGATAAAACTCGTCCAATTACTGAAAAAGATCTCAATCAATTCAAATACATTGATGCTGTTATAAAAGAAGTTGATCGCGTTTTTCCAGTTTCAAATATGTTGCAAAGATATGGTACAGCACCCGATGAAATAGCAGGGTATAAATGGCCAAGTGGTACAATGTTTCAAGTGAATGCTATTTCTATTCATAAAAGTAAAGATTATTGGGAAGATCCTGAAACGTTTAATCCTGATAGATGGATGGTTGAAGGTTTTGAGCCAAAGAAAAATTCTTTTATCATGTTTGGTGGAGGATTAAGAGTCTGCCCAGGAAGAAAGTTAGCAATGATTGAATTGGTTGCTTTAATGGCTTTAATATATAGAAAATATGATTTTGACCTTGTAAACATGGAAGCTCCTTTACAAGTTAAATCAGGCATTATATCTGCTTGTACTCAGTTATTAGTTAAAGTTAAATCAAGAAATTAAGATTGCTTGATACAGTCCCTGGCGAAAGTAATGGTGGTGAGAATACCACTTCTTAATTTGGTCATAATGCTATTACTATCCCGATTAGATCATTACTTGTTATACCAAATTGAACAGTGGAGTGATCATTTAAAAAAGTAATAAAAAAAAAGTATTTCAAATAATGACATTATTTTTGTTTTGTTACCCAAAATGGTTTCCATTACCACTAAATTTATTTATAAAGCTGCTAACTTTTACTTGAAACAAAGTTTTAGGTAATTTCTAATTAAACTGAAAATTTTTTGCATTTCCGTAAGCAATTCACCCTCCTCTTTAAAACATGGCAAAATTCTATATATTTGTTATTCTAAATGTTGCACTAAAGCTATTTCTTAAAAAAATACAAAGTGATGATCATTTTATGTATTTTAATTTTCATTGGGAATACATGCATTCTTGACTAACCAAATAATTTTCTAGATTATTGATGAGTTTTTTATTATAATAAATATATAAAATGACAATTCCCATAATGTTTGACATAGTTTATCTATATAAGGGTCAGGTGGCGAAAATTTTTTTTACTATGAGCTGTGCGCAGAGACTTTTATATGAGTAGCACGCATAATTGACACCTGATATTGAAAATCCTGCAAAAATACGCAAATAAAATTTCAGACATAAGTTATATTCACTGTACAGTACGTTAACCGCATTGTAATATTTAGTATTAATTGAAAGAAATTTCCAAGGGTTAAAAGTGAAATTTTAGAAAAATATTATTGAAAAAATGGTAAATTAGAATAAATTCTATTTTTTCACATTAGTATTTGGTTTTATAAATAATATAGAAGTCATGATAAAATAATAATAAGATAGCCAAATTTAGGGCAAAAATACACAAACTAATTTTTTACATATAAAAATTTCGATAAAAAAATACGCAATCTTGATGACCTAACTATAGATGAAAAATTCTTAGATTGTACGCAAATCAAAACTTTTACGCATCTGTGTACCCTACCCCTGTATATATATTTATCTTCCAATTAGAGCGCCGAACGAATCAAGTCAAATCAGGTTAAAAGGCAACTCGTACTCGACTTGGAAAATTGAGCCGATATAAAATTTTACGATCTGACCCGACTCAAATTTACCATAAAAATATCTAGTTATTTTTATGGGATCTCCCAAAAATCCCGACAACCATAATATCGACAATCTATAACCCGACACCAAAATCCCGATAAATGCAAATCTCGGTTGAATTAAAATCCTGACAGTCACACAGCAAAAATCCTGACTGAATTTTTAATGCAATTGTTTCTAATTTTAAAAGATTAATGATTTAGTAATATACTGTACTTAGTCCTTTTAGTTAAAATAAAAAAATTTTTCCTTTTAATTTCATTAATAATATAGTAACGTTAGTTAATTTGCATTAATATTAAAAAAATTCGCAACAATTGCATTGGTATTGATAAAATTTACAAATATTTAATCAAATAATTCAAATTATATTTTTAATTATATTGGATAAATTAAGACTCGGTACTGCGCCGCTGTATTTTTAAAATTATTTGTTTATTTAGAAATTTATAAAATTTATATAATTATTTTTTTTTTTTGAAAAAAAAAAACTTTGAGTTCTGTGACTATCGGGATTTTGTTTCAACCGGGATTTGGGTTTATCGGGATTTCGGTGTAGGATTGTAGACTGTCAATATTATGGCCTGTCTCTTATACACATCTAGATGTGTATAAGAGACAGAACTTTAATCGATTACAGCTTGTTAGTCGATTTTGGTCGATCTTGCCTAAAAATTTTAACCAATTAATCGAACAATGATTTTGGGTGTTGACTCAATTCCCTAATTTTCTCACTCTTTGACCCACTAACTCGAATTCAAAAAGGTCTCTTCTAGTTGTTCAACTTTTATTTTTCAAGTGAATGGCGCAGAAATATTAATAAATAANTACCAAATTTTTTTTTTTTTTTTTTGAGGTTTATTGTTTATTACATGATGATACAATAATCAGAAATAAATTTTTATATTTAGCAAAATAAATCAAAGGTAAGAAACATCGAAGTTATGAAATAACTAAGCCTATTGATATCGGGCTTGATGAGATTATATGGACTTACATCGAGCTAAGCCCGTTGTACCCTTTGAGCCACCGCAACTAAAATATTTCAGGTATTCAAACTTAACGTTAAATGTTTATGTTTAGTCGTCATAAATCAAAATTTCGTCATAAATTCATAATAAAATTATTGTTTTAACTCTTGAAAGAATAATTTAAAAAAAATTGTCTAGGATACATACATTATATCTTTTTTGTTCTTTAACAAAAGAATTGCCTCATGTCTGATCAACACTGTGGTACCATTCATTCCAAAACATAATGATAATCGGATTATATTACTTTGATGATTTCGAATATCGAGAATTAATATAGTTTATGATTTTAAAATTCAATGTTTAAAAAATGTTTAAAATAATTAAGAACTTGATATTTGTAATACTGTACGTCAATTCTTGTACTATATATAAAATGCTGGCTCGCATGTAAATCTAATCATCATGTGATATCACGATGTTATTTTTTTTCTGTACATAAGATTAATTATTATAATAATTATTTTCAAAGTGCCATTTCAGGCGTTAAAAATACAGTATATTACGTAGCAAGAATAAAAATATTAGTCATATTACAACTTTTGTTCTACAATTGGGATCGTTTAATATTAATAAGAGAATTTCGAAATTCTTCGTTTTTTCATTCACATGATTGCCAATCAGTTTGTGATTATTAATTCGGGTAATTTATTAAAATTGTTCTTTAATTAATCCATATACTATTCTGAATAATCAAACTTTAATAATATGGTAATTCTTTTCTTAATGACGTCTAACTCTTAAAAAAAACCTATATAAGCATCTGATGACGAATAAAATAAATTATATACCCGATAAAATTGATGATAAATCAAATTTTTTTCATTTGTAATGCCCAAATTTATATAAAAAAGTCTTGGCTGATTTCCTTTTATAAAAGCTTGATTAGCCAATTTTCGAAAATCATGCATTATCAAGTTTAATGATTTTCGGAAAAGTTTTAACCCCTTACCGGTAATAAACGGATAAATTTAAACGGTAAATTTAACGGATAAATTTAAACCGAATATTTAACCGATAAATCAATTTTTAATATAAATATCATACAATCCCCCATCAAAAAAAATATCATAAAAACAATATAAAGAAAAACAAATAAATAAGAAATATAATAATAAAAAAAAAAAAGAAACATAGCTGATAACATGTCTTTACATAAAATTTTTAGTGGTCTTGGAATTAATGACTACCTTTCATTTATAGGTGTCTTATTAATTATCTATGTAACTCATTATTATTACAAATATTTTACTCGTGTTAATCCTTTACCTGGTCCATTGCCATTCCCATTCGTTGGAAATCTGCCTCAATTTATATTGTATAAAGCAAACGCCAGAGAATTCTTCGATGCTTATCAAAAGAAATATGGTGACTTATATGAAGTTCATTTGGGAGCACGACGTATAATTCTAAGTCGAGCAGAAGATATTGATAAACTTTTAATGCCTTCAACAAAAAGTCATTATATGACGAGACTTCCCTATATGCAAGGATTAGAAGAAATTGGAATGATGGGAAAGGGACTTATTTTAAATCATAACTTAAAATCATGGAGATTTAATCGTCAATTTTTTACACAAGCAATCTTATCACCAAAATTCTCTCAGGAAGCTATTGTTATGACAAATAAATTGTTCCTTGAAATGGAAGATTATTGGGATAGATTGTATCTCAAAGAAGAAGTTATTAAGAAAAACAAAAATGTGCTCGATTTCGCTTCGTGGTTAAGTCGATTTACCAATGATGTGATTGTCGCGTTGACAACGGGTGAAAGATCTTATACAATGGCAGGTTATTTTAATGACCAGGGTGAAGAAAAGACTGATCATCCACCAGCAATAGTAGAAGACTCGGAAAGATTTGTTCAATCATTCCGTAGTCATATTAATAATATTGTAATGTTTATATTCGTAAATCCTTTCATTCGACATTACATTCCATTTTTTAAAGGTAGATCAGATGAATCGCTTCGAAACGTCAAATTTCTTTATGATAAAGTAGATTCAATTATTAAGAGACGCAGAGAAGAAATTGAAAATACACCATTAGATAAACCTTTACCGCATGATATGTTGACCTCGGTGATAACCGCGAATACACCACGTGATATTAATTATACTAAAACTGTTGGTGGTGAATCTATGGATAGACCTATGACTGATCTTGAAATTCGTCATATCATGTTCGACGCATTTATTGGTGGAACTGATACGGTAAGTTATAAATTTTTAAATATTATTTTATTTTATTTTATTTTTTTTAATTTTGGAAATTAATATGTTTATATAAATATAGACCGCAAATATGATTTCATTCATTGTCTATTATCTTGCACATTATCCGGATGTAAAAAGAAAAGTGGTAGAGGAAATTGATAGAGTATTCCAAGATGATAAAACTCGTCCAATTACTGAAAAAGATCTCCATCAATTCAAATACATTGACGCTGTTATAAAAGAAGTTGATCGCGTTTTTCCAGTTTCAAATATGTTGCAAAGATATGGTGCAGAACCCGATGAAATAGCAGGGTATAAATGGCCAAGGGGTACAATGTTTCAAGTAAATGCTGTTTCTATTCATAAAAATAAAAATTATTGGGAAGATCCTGAAACGTTTAATCCTGATAGATGGATGGTTGAAGGTTTTGAGCCAAAGAAATATTCTTTTATCATGTTTGGTGGAGGATTAAGAGTCTGTCCAGGAAGAAAGCTAGCAATGATTGAATTGGTTGCTTTAACGGCTTTAATATATAGAAAATATGATTTTGACCTTGTAGACATGGAAGCTCCTTTACAAGTTAGATCAGGCATTATATCTGCTTGTACTCAGTTATTAGTTAAAGTTAAATCAAGAAATTAAGATTTCTTGATATGTTATATTAATTCTTATATACAAACATGATTTATTTATTTTTTTTTTTATGTAATTTTCTTACTCGAATTTAATTAAATAAAGTATATTTTCTTATTGAAAATTCAAAAAGCGTGTGTAAATAAAAATTAAAATGACCAGTTGAGATGACGGAAAATATGTGTCATTGGGGAGAATCATGAGGGAGTTCAGTGAGAAAAATCCCTTAGTTGGGATATTGGGATAGATAGTATATTGGAAGTTTAGGTTTATAATTAAGTTGAAATATTTATGCTTTACCAGCAACTAATAGTGAATAGATAAGTTTTTTTATTAATTTTCTTAAGGTCTTCATTTTAAAACAATAGCTCTGTTCAATTCCGGTCGGTTGCATTTTTCGAACGGTTTGTCTGATTTTTGTGTAACACGAGATATCCAATCCTTTGAACCCATAAAACTTATTGAATATACTTAAGGTATTTATTTTTTATGTATTAAAAAAATAAATTCCATTTTCCTTTATTACGATTACTACTGGGATTTTTGCATTTTTGAAATAAAATCATATTACAATAATAAAAATAATAAAACAAAAAAAAATTAATTGAAAATGGTCTATCGAAATAAATGCACATAAAGGTTAAAAAAATAAATATAGATAATTAATTAATATAATATCGATACTATTAACTCCATTTTCGTTCTTTAATTGTACAAATACCATGTACATTATCAGTGCTTATATAAAATTTCCTAAATAGTAACACAATCCTTTTCTTGCATGCCCAAATAATAAAAAAAAAGTAAGTATCTATAATAATAACGATGATAACAACGATGATTGGATGATTAGTGTAGTTATTTTGAATGAAGAATTAGGAATTGTGTATACAAATAAAAGTACCATGAATATCGAAATTAAGTTACTTGCAAATTTTAAATAGGAAATAAATATTGTTATTAAATAATAGGGGCATAATATTATGCTTCGAACAATAGAAACAGGTGAACTACATAAATTCTAAGATTGATATTATTTCTTTTATAAAATGACTTTATTTCCCATTAATATATGTTGATCACGATCATTTTCGGACTCGAGCCGTTTTGGTTAAAACCGGTGCAACCGGTTTGGTTACCTGATTCCTTAGTCATGTATATTATAACGATTATACAATGTTAATAAAAATTTAAAAAAAAACAATAAAGAAATACTTTTTTTTATTTATATTTCATTGTGTATAATTCATTATTTGTATAGAATAAATCATTATAATAGATTAGGCGTTAAAAAAGAAACTATTGAGAAAATAGATACTCCTAACTAATCAAAAATTTAGTAAAAGGAGTTGCGGTGGTATCATTCCTTCCCAAATCATGCAAATCCCAATTTTCCTCAATGGTCTTTGCTATCGAAAAATGTGTGTAATAGGTATCATCATTGTGATTTACATTCGGTTGGACTGGAGTGCCCAGAAGACTGCTAAAAATTTGATTCGGTTCTCCTTTTGACTCGGATTCATCAAAAGTAATAAAGAACAATGTGTTGGTAGTAAAAGCCGGATCTTGAAGTTTTGGTTCAAACCAACCTTTAAACCATGTCATTGCAAACGTGAGGTTGGTATCATGAGCATCATTGTCCTGATTTGGTGTGTAATAAGCAAATTGTGGTACACTATTCGTACTTATATCCATATCAAGCTGGCTAGCATTGACTATTTTCGCACAACGTACAGGGTCATCGTGTATGTTCACCATTGAAATAAATGGATTATGCTTACGTGCGTAAGAGTCATTGCTTGGACCAAATGAATACTGATAACAGTTGCCAGGGTAGTTTTCCATGTAAGCTTTCCAAGAAATTCCTTTATCTTCAAGAAGGTCGACTAAATTCTTGCCGGTCACATTGTAATCGGCATCATCTAATATTCCAAGTGTCGAACCATATATTTGAGCTATGTAATTAGGTTCAGATGGATGTTCAACGGCGAAAAAATTAGAAAGAAGAATGCCATCCTGACGATTTGTCAAGTCCGATAGGTAAGGATCATTCACTGCCGTTACGTAATCGGTGTTTTCAAAAATTATTAGAAAGAAACGATCAAAATATTTTCCTTTTACAATTTTGCCAGCCGTTCTCATACAAAAAATAATAAAAGTAACTGCTAATAGGGTGATAATATTAAAATATTTCATTTTCATTAATTTATTTTCTTTTAATGCTAAAAAGCGTGTGCAATAAATAGTGAGAAAGAAAGAGTGTTTTAAATATACACGACAAACCAAGCAGACTATCGAATTAGGTTTGAGTGACACGTAAATTTTATTCTAATTTTTAATTATTTTATTGAGGTTTGCCTTATGAACAATTATTATTAATTCCGAACTAAATTCAGTTGGATTCTAGATTACAGAAAATTAATCGACTAGATAAAAAAGGTTTTACTTCTTGGCATTCTATTAATAGAATATACAGGGTTTCACCTGATTTTGATGATCTGAATTTCAAAGTCGTAGCATAAACCAATAATATTATATAAGCTGCAGCACGTTTTTAAATATTAAAACCAATTTAACCTAATTTAGTGTAATAATAGAATGACATGACCGGACTTTATTCTATTTAATAACAACAAGAAGAATCAATCAGCAAAGGATTTATAAATAAAAAAAAAAAAAAAAAAAATTACCGACGTTGGCACCTAGAAATGACAAATATACCTGTAAGTCACTACGAAATTTTTTATAACAAGTGTTCAATTTCGAACCCGAAGAGCATAAAAATGCTACGAAATATGATAAATTGTTACACATGATTTTATGCGCATAAATTTTACGGAAAAACATCAATTTGATTTCAGCGATTACCCATATAGATCATCCTATTCGTCAAGCAATAGGTGAGGAAAAGGTCAAGAAAAATATGAAGGTTCCTCTGTAATAAGAAGCTCCGAGGTTACTTAACGGATAAGCTTCTTAAGGCTAATATTATTAACGTGAATTTTGCCTCAAAGAAATAGTTTTGAAGAAATTTTTTCAAGTTCATCGACATTGTCGTCACTTCTGTTCAAATTATTATTTTATAAGAAAATTGTATTTTTAATAAAATAGAAAAAATTACATGGAAATCGAGATATTACCCTATATATAGGACGCTTTATTCCATCAAGAAAATAACAGATAGTGTACAAATAAATATCAATAATGGTTAATTTTCGTTTCGGAATGAATTAATTGATCGATTATTACATGTATCTGAATATTAAAAATTAATTTTAAAATCCCATAATCCTATATCATGATTCTTGTTTACAACTCGATTATCTTTTTTGTAACGTTCATCTTTGTTATTATTCCAGTTTAGAAACTGACTTCTAGATGAAATAAAGTATTTCTATCATAATGTACATGTTACGTTCGTCTGTTCGTCTGGATTAAAAAAAAATACTAAATTTATTAATTAAAAAATCAAACTTGCTTTACAACCAAGTTATTTATCGATTCATGAATATTTTTAAAACAAATTTATTCGGAATTTCATCTTCGAAAAAAAATACTATTTTTCGAATGTCATACATATGGACCATTTATAATTTTGATTTTAGGCCATAGATGAACTAATTAGTCTATGGTTATTTGAGGAGGTCCGAAAGTAGTAGCTTTATTGCACTTTGAGGTAAGTACACGGGCCATGAATATCTTGTGAAATGATCACGTGTGGAAAATGTATTGTCATTCTCAAACCAATCAATTTAAAAACAATTAAAAAATCATTGTTTAATAACAATAATATTAAGATGAATTTACTGTAAAATCGAATATAAGCACCCGATATATAGGGCGTTTTCTAGGAAAATGAGTGTCTAAGACCAATTAGACAATGGAATTTCATTGTTTATTTGGTAATTTTCCTAGCATACGCCCTATATATTTTACTCGAAAATATATATTTTACCCGAAAATGTATAATTTACCCGAAAATATATAATTTATCCGAAAATGTATAATTTACCCGAATGTATTTTACCCGTAAATAGCGCCCTTCCGAAAGAATTTGTAAAAAAATAAATTTTAATATGATATTATCATATTACAGAATTACAAAATGAAATATAAAATTCATCTAGTATCATCATCAATACGCGCTTCAATGACACGAAAAAACTACGCTAAAATCGGTATTCCGGTTAATGTCAAACTCGCTTACCGGCGTACGTAAGTCAAATCATTGCAAATTCTTCTACAAGACCTTGTCGGCAATAGCCCCATTTCCGCTCCTCATGCTGAGCAACTATGTTGTGTTTTTAACATACCTGTTTTCTATAACTAATACAGAAAGTTTAGTTTTAATTTTTGCACCATTTTTCTAATTCGTGTTCTACAATATAAGAATCTGATGAAAAATTTTTATAATTTGAATTTATTTTGTCCCAATAGTAATATAATATTTTGGGATAAAGGACTTCCTTTAGTTTTTGTAGTTTTTCCTGATCAACCAAGGCAAATTTTCAGTATAAGTTGCATTTCAATTTGATGCATAAATGATAAATTGACGACAACTGATGCACAATAAATATAAATTAGGCTATTGCGATAATAATGTCATAAGCGTGACAGAAATCTTGTTAATGAAATTCGATTTTTATTATTTTTTATTTCAAATTCAGATTAAATGTAACCTAGGATAAATATGATAAATCAAATGAATTTCGATTTATATTCTAAGATAGCTTAGTTATACAATAATCTAATTTCTTTTTATTAGCGATAAAATGAATTCTCATTTACAGTATATTTATCTTTATTTCGACCTAAAATAAAAATTTCAAAAAAAAGGCCTAAAATGCTGAGTTATAAAGAATTGACTTCTGATTCACCTTAGACTAGATTCGAACTAGCCAATTAGAAATATGCTTCCTAGTAGGATAAAAACTTGTTTGCTCGTAATCTTGATAATAAATTACATTATTTTACGTTGTGGCTTCAAAGATCCAGTAACAAAATGTGCTCGAAACCACATTGGAATGCTTGCAGACGGATACGATCCTGACAGATAATACAAATAATGAGGATTGAGGATATTCGCTTCTTTGAAATATTTTAGTTAAAAACAAAATCTGTACTAAAATCATCATATTTGAGAAATAACAACCAAATAGCGCTGAATATAGTTGTTACTCGTCCTCAATTTGCAATAGAAAAGTGGCATTTTACGGTACTTAAAATGGAATCTTACATTACAATAAGACACCTACCACTTCTCCCCTTATTATTATCACAATCACCTTTAGTTATTTACAGTAGTGGACCTCTAGGTCTATTAAAATTATAAATAAACGTGTATCATTTTATTATTTACTAGAAAATAAAACCCGTTATAATGTATTTCCGAAGAGAGCAAGAGAGCTAAATTTTCTGATAAAACAAGTGGTAATGCTACTACACATTTTATATCCAAATGAATAGATTCGCAAATCTTCATTAATCGGTGTAAAATAGCAAAATTTTTGATTAAAGAAAACGTTCATATAATTTCATATTTTCATTAGAATTGAAATTTAAGCTAACAAACAAATAATTATATCAATAAATTAATAATATGTCATAAACTTTTATAAGTAATGTGTTAGTTTGCGAATTTTATTACCTTTAGCTGGCATTTATTTAGCGAACGTCAAGTCGTCAAGTCCTTTTAAGTAACGTGATGATCACCTTATTAACGCACGTGATACAAAACTCCAACAACATGATTGGTCAATTACGCGTAAGGGCAATTATTAATTTTAAGCGTTCCAGCGAGGCAAAGTCCTTTACAGGCAGAAGATCTGATAGAGGTTAAAATATGTAGTCTAAAATCAAACCGAGATCTCGGTAGGTCATAAATATAAATCATTTCCCAATTTACATTCTTTTCTCTATAAAATATTACCCAGTTACAATTAACGGATTTTAAATGCAATAATTCAAATTTTACCTGTATAATGTTTTAATTGAATAATATTAAATACAGGACACTACAACTTGAATATCATTTAACGAAATTAGCGCCAAAAAATTATGAAACACTTGCGGATCAAAATTAAATTACTATCTGCTTTTGTGTGTATCATTACTATATAAAGTGTAATCATCTGTGTAAGGAAAATTACTTGTTTTTGTAGTTAATTTGAGTTAACTTCTGATATATCGAATTGATATATAATTATTATAATTTGCAAAAATGAATAAATCAAAGAAAATAGCAATATTATTTTTAAAAATTCCAGGTCAGCTCGAATTAGGATCGAAATTAGGTTTACGTAAATATTTTTATCAGTCGATTTGTATACTTCAGGTCGGATTCGAATTCGAGCACTATTAGTGGATTAAATTAAGTGCTTTTTGGTAGGACAGCTTCCAATATAGAATCTTATATCCAAAAAAGTTGGTGCGACTAATTTTTGAGCATCATTTCCTATAATGCTCGATGTTCTATTTGGCTCCGTAGTGACCCAAACTCAACCATATCCTAAATACGATTCTATGCCCAAACCTATGTTTCAAATCTAACAAACAAAGTTAGAGCATTTGCCTATTTAAGTTGAACATTGAGTTTCAGATTGAATTTGTTCCAAATTGGGATTTGGGAACATGATCGAGTTGGTTACTCAAACTTGGGTTCATTACGTAATTGCTAACAAACTTTATAAATAACGAACATTTTTATCTTTAATTTCACGTGAAATGCTAACATGCCCCAATATTTGAATAATACACTCCTTAAAAACATTATTTATCTTACTTAATTCGTTAAATGATCAACAAAGTATACCTGAAAATGTTGGCGTAAAAGTGTTATTGTTGCCGATTTTTAGAAAAAATCAGGTGATTGCCTTGATTCTTTTATTTAACCTTCTCAATATCATTCGTATTTTTCTCGTTTTTTTTTTCTTTCTTTTTTTTTTTTTAAAAAAAAAAAAGAAAGAAAGAGAAAATATCAAAAAATCATTCATATTATTTAGATGTAAAGAAGTTCGCGCGCGTGCAACCTCCTTAAAATATATAACCTTAGAGGGATATTAATGAAAACCATATTTTATTTACTTTATTAATAAATTGGTGTATCATTATATCTTCCTAAAAATAAAGACATTATTCAAATG